AGGGGGGTATTCAAATTAAATCTGGCACCAGAAATTTTAGTCAGACACAAATCAGAGGCTGTAACAATAGGAATAATATTTTAACGACCCACAAATCTTATTTTAATGAAAACACCCCCAAATTTAGCTGAGCTTAAGTTAAGTCCTTAATAAGTTCATTAATTAAAGAAGATGCACGAGGCATACGTTTCATAAGTACAACTAGACATGAACTGTTTAAACTCTATTATAAAATATGGAACATATAAAATGTAATAGGATTGAACAAAATTCAATTGAATTAATTTTATTTCATCAAAGTGAATATCAGTATACAATGCGAAAAAAAAAAAGTTTTGAAAGTTATAGTCGAGTGGGTGGAGCATGATTTTCGTATCTAAAAGTCATGATTTCAATTATTGTTAACATTTTCTTGATTGAGTCTGTCACACATGATTTTTCTAGTGTAATTTATTTCTCCTGTGTAATTTACGAGTTATTACATAGGAGTCCTTGTATAGTAATTGTGTAAGTTTCTCTAGTCATTAATATATATTAAAAAAAAAAAACAAAAACAAAAGTAATAGGATTGACTTGTTACTAAATGCTAATTAATGTTAAACGGACAAAACTCACAAAAGAGTGAAATAGAAAAAAGAGATTGAGGATATATAAAGGCTACGGAATATATTCTTAACTTGATAGCAACACATACATACATGCTGGGTTTCGAATATTTTTTCAAGATTTTACAAATTAAATTGACTATAACATTGTCAATTTTATATTCAAATAGTGCTCTCGAATTCAGCTAATGACCTTGTGGTCTAGCGACACGAAGTGACCCTCTTATATGGAAGGTTATATGTTCTAGCCCCTACTTCAATAGGTTAGAAAATAGTTATGAATATATATACATAAATTTTGTACGTAATAATTGTAAAAAAATGGTGATAATTTAATAAATATATTATCATTTTTGTTAACTTCAAGAATATTGTGGTGGGAAATTATAGACCGGGTGGGACCCCAAAAAAACATGTTCTTCTTTAGACATTGGATCTAATAGTCGGTCCAAAAATATGTAAAAATTAAATTTTACAACTCAGAAGTTGACATGGAGGGGTCACACTCTCGTATGCAAGACGTGCACTTGCTGGTGATTTCCAGACTGTCATGATAATTCCCTCAAAGATTTCTATCAATTTATTCAATTGAAATGAGAAGAAAAACAATATAAACACAATCATTTTCAGACAGAATTTCATGTATTCCACAAATACAATAATATCTCACAATTATTAATATTAAATAATAATACATTATTTCACTCACATTCAAACATGTTCTGTCACAAAAATAGTTTTCATGAGAGGTTAAAGCCAAAAATGAGGAGAGAAGTGGAGGGAGACGTACAAAATTAAGAAAATTTCAGGAATTATTGATTTAGTAATAACAATGTTACTACTTTAACTCCTCGCGAAAACGGCCTATTAACTTTTTTGGTTTGAGTCGGACAACTATGGATAACCTAAGTTGGTTTACTTCCTTGTGGTCCTTTGCCATTTAGTATTATAAGGTAAGGTTTACTCAGTGTATACCTTCGCATAGTGACTACGAATTTATCTCGTCACCCAAACAAAAATAAAAAAAGAAAATTTCAAAACATTTTATAATTCAAAGTGAAATAGTGGTTGATAATATCAGGCACCTAAACGATAATATAAACTACCTAAAGAGATCATTGAAAAATATATAGGTAGATAAACGACCGATACGACGATACTGATAAATCATATTGACATGCAGTCAACAATTTTCAACTACTCCATAATTTAAAAAAAAAAAAAAAAAACAAACTTTTTATATAAAATCAATCATTCTATCTCAAACTATTTCATAAAATTTGAACTTGAATTGATCCGTTAACCACCATATTATAAAAATTTCCAAGAATGTAGACAAAATATTTAACCACTCTTCTCATCATATATCCGATCTAAAACTTCTTGATTGGGGTACGTAGATTTCAACGAAGTAGCGTGTCCGGTGATTGAAATACGCGCCACTTGAGCTGTTGTTGTATGTATGTACACTTTATCCCATAATCTTTCCGTTCGTTCAAGTTGGTTTTAATTTCTTACTTTAATAACTTATTATATGATTTTGAAATATTAAATTAATATAATGTGTATATTGTAAGTTTTTTTTTTTTCTGCTTTAATTTTTGTGCAGAAGGGGACACACAGCAGTGTCGGTAGAGAAAGAGGGTCCCACATACATAGATGCCAGTCTAACATGAAGATACCATATCATAAAATGACATGAAAAGGCCACGCAATATAATTAACACAGGACCCATCAGATATACCATTTAATTATTAATTATGTATGCATTATTATTGAGTGCTTAATGATGATTTAATTAAATTTTATTATGCATCTATTATATCGTGGGAACTTGATTGTAGATTTAATTTGCATATAATGCCAATTGTACTATTTAAGTAAATTATTGTGTCCCTAAATAATCATATGCTACCTGCATGCATGTTTATATATAGTTTATCTTGTTAGGTGAGTTGTTGATGACTTGATTGTTCATTCTCAATTTACCAATAATGTATAGTGTTTGCTAAGTTTAATAACTATGAATTTGTATTCATTTAATTTAAAATTTAATTAATTCTCCCAAATAATAACCAGATAGATAGCGGGTCAACCCATCAATTTAAACTACTCAAAAGGAGAGAGAGTGAGAAATCTGAAAAAAATGTCTTTAAGATAAAAAAATCTTGGAAGACATTTTTGTCGGAATTTACCATTGACTTCATTTAATTTTCTTTCCATAGCCTAATGTTGGAAAATCCAAAAAATAATTTCTAAAAGTTTTTTTTTTTTTTTTAAACGGAACCTAAGCTAAACTAGTAATTTGAATATTTTTTGCTATTTTGATTACTAAAAGATTTAAAAAATATATATATTCAGATTGTAATTTTACTCTACCCCACTACACAATTTGTGGTTCATGACAAAAATTATGATTTTCGATATGAAAAGGAAAGAGGTCAAGACTAGCTAGCAAAGAGTGAAAGTCAGCCTAGCATTTGGCCAATACCTGCAAACCGACACAAAATACACTTTCAAGTTACAGCTAATAAATTGCTCAAATCCTTGATAAATGAAGCTTATTCTACTTTCAGTGATTTGCTATCTTGATAAATTCAATTTTTTTTTTCCAAAATTTTTAATTCTAGATGTTATTTGTAATTTATTTTTATTTAGTTTAAAATATCTAAAATATTCTCACATGCAGTTGTGTAAAGTTTGAAAAAATTTACAAGCATTTTAAACGTTTTGGACTAAAGTAATATATCTTTTAAAGTCCGAACGCCAAAAAAAAAAAAAAGAAGAAGAAGAAATGTTTAAAAGAAATACAACTGAAGAAAATAAAAAGATTAAAAACTAAATATATCGTGGTAAAGTCACACCAACAAGATCCTCAAACAAGAGAGGTCACATCCCTCAAGTGGGGACTCAAAGACGTGTAACCCAAACTGAGTATTTTCAAGGGACTATTTGTCTTCCAATCAACACATCTATTTGCTCCTTTAATATAATCTCTATGCATACTAAAAATGTCATTTTAAATTTTATAGTAAAAGTGAAGAAATCAAAGTTGTCAAGTTGATGATCATGAAAAGAAATATCATTATAATTGGAATTTTTTTTAAAAAAAAGTAGAATAAACTAAACCAACAACAACTACTAATAATATTATTAGAGAATTTGTACGACATCACTAACTATTGTCCCATAGTACCCAATGCCCATATGTATACCACATGGAGATGCTTAAGGCATGTGAAATAAGTTGTATAGAACAATTAACTTGATCAATCTCACAAACGTAATATAATTATACTGGAGTTCGATCTGCTGTAATGTTCTCTACTGCAATTATTGTTTTGACAATGAGAATGTTATATTGCAATTCTTTCTTCAATTCTATAGAAATAATGATGATGTTTTGACTGCCAATGGACTTGGATTTGCAACTGTAATATTCTCTAAGGCTGTTTTACAAGTACAATTTTGGATGAGTATATATCAGCTTTTTGAATTGCACTACTCTTGACTCTTGAGTACTTAAGAAGAAGGTGCAGAGTTGAAATGACATATATGGATTCTGCCACTCTGCAGTCCTCTTTCTACATTTCATTCTGCCCCTTCTTTTTGCTTCTTCTCAATTTTGGTGGCTGTCCAGTTTTGACTTTCATATTCTTTTCAGAACCTTCTATTTCATATTTTTTTTAAAAAATACGGAGTATATTTTAATAATTACACCAGAATAATACGGAGTAATAACTAAAAGCAAATATATATGCACACCCACATACTGTAGTAAGGTAAATGATGAGGGTAGGCACAAGACAATGGTCTGATCTTTTAGTTTAATGGACCATTAAGTCACAATAATTAACTCTTTACAATTCTGCTAGGTTGGGGTATGAGGACTTTAGGGCGAGAAATTTCGTCTTTTGTTGACAAAGTAAATGATGAGTGTTATGTCCTTATCTTATTTCATGAAGAAATTAAAACTAATAAAAATTATGAGTTAAATTTTAATGAAATAATAATATATATGCACAGTATCATTTCTACCTATATTAAAGAATTCAATGATTCTGGCCACCTATGGTTTATGGTCCAAGTAAAACAAAATTAAAAACATTTGATTTGTTGTATTGATTCAAATTTCACTTATTAGACCATCCAGACCTACAAAATTGTTTGGTTGTTTTTGATGATTTCAATGATTTGGGCAACACCAAACTAAGCTACTCTGTAAGCCACCAGTTGCCTACATCAATGTATTATCCAACACGTACTTCTCTTTGTTGGCATACATAGATCCTTAGTTTTCTACTTTGGGTGTCTTACATTCATTTAACTAAACTATAAAACTAACTAACCTTCAAACCTCAAAAAAACAAAAAAAAACATAATGGTTAGAAAAAACATGGAGACAATGAGAGTAAACCAGCTCATAATGGTTATTGTGCTTGTGCATTACCTTAGCCCGGGTGTGGTCTCAGACGACTCGATTCCTATTCCGGCTAACAAGGCCGAGGTGAAGAGTTGGTTCAGCTCCAATGTTGAGCCCGTGGCAAATAGAAAGAACCTCGACCCCGAGCTGGCTAAGGCCGAGAGTAATCCTAAACATATTAGGGTGAGTAAGGATGGAAAAGGAGATTTTGAAACCATTACAGATGCCCTAGCAAGTGTTCCTGAAGACAACACACAACGCGTTATCATTTCGATAGGCGGGGGGAATTATACCGAGAGGGTGATTATCGAAAAGGAGAAGCCCTTCATCACCTTGTATGGTGATCCTGATGCTACGCCATTTATCAATTTTCATAAGACATCTACTAAAGACGGCACCGTACATAGTGCCACTGTGATTGTTGAGGCCGATTACTTCACAGCTATTAATATTAACATATTGGTACGTGTTGGTTGAAGTTATGTTACGTTGCGTTACGTTGTTACATATATAGTTATTGTTAATCTCACCCACCGTACACGTGAGGAGGCGTGTTGAGCATATAGCCATGCAATTCAATTATGAGTTTAGGCTTTTAGTTGAGATGAAGCACATGCTTTAATTGTTATAGCTGCATATATGCATGTATATATCCTTTGATAGTTAGGATTACATTGAGGATGCAAATTTTTGAATAGTAATTGCAATTTTTCTTATTTTATAAATGTGCAGAATTCGGCACCAAGGTGGGAAGGTACAACGAAAGGATCACAAGCAGTGGCGCTAACACAGAGCGGGGACATGGCGGCGTACTACAACTGTAAACTATATGGATTCCAGGACACGTTTTGTGATGACGAAGGCCGACATTTCTTTAAGGATTGCTACATCGAAGGCACGGTCGACTTTATCTTTGGCAATGGCAAGACTCTCTATCTGGTATGTTGAAAACCAGTTTGTCTCATATAGGGATTAGGAATATGAGTCTAGAAATTAAGAAAACATGCATGCAATGCAGGATACGGAATTGCATGTGATCGATGGTGTGATCGCAGCACAAGCACGACATACAAACAAAGAGGACACAGGATACTCTTTCGTGCACTGCAAAATAACAGGACCCAGGCAAGGCGGGTTTCTAGGGAGAGGATGGATGGCCTTTTCCAGGGTCATATATGCCTATACTGAAATGACTGAGGCCGTTAGACCCTTGGGATGGCATGGAGTGCCCGGCAAACCCCATTATGGAGGGTATAGTAACCCACCATCCATTCCTTCTTTAATTTTTGCATTACCAAATCAGAGAAACTCGCAGTCACAGCTCAAATCTAAGAAGCTAGTATAAGCCAATAAGCATTTGTTATTTTTCTAATTATTTCAATATATATGTGTTTATGTATTGTTGCAGGACAACCTATTTCGGAGAATATAAGAATACAGGACCTGGAGCTAAAATGGATGGTCGTCCATATTTCGCTAAGAAGCTGACTGATGAAGAAGTGAAGCCTTTCATCACCCTTGGTTTCATAGAGGGTTCCAAGTGGTTGCTTCCACCTATCAAGTTAGATCCACATGCTCAATTAGCTAAGAGTGAACTCTGAACTCGAATTTGTGCTAGCTTAGCTTGGACTTTACGATATGATCGCATGCAATGCATATAGATCAGAGGGAATACCGGAAATGATACATGGATTATGGATAGACATCAGATCAGAAGGCCGGATTTGTTTGTTTAATTTATTATTATTATTATTTTTATTTTTTTTTTAACTTCCTCAGGACTCAGGTTATTGTTAATTCTATATATTTTGTAGGAAATAAGGGAATATAATGGTATACAATTTCTTTCTTGTTTAATTTTCAACTTTCAGTTGTTTATTGATGTAAATTTTTTTCTTGAATATATATGTATTTATTGTAAATGTCAAGCATCTTGTGCTCAGATAACATGTAGTGGCATCGAGTCTCAGTAGAGGCGATGTTGACTCTTTGAGTTTCAACAGGTTGAGAAAGTATAAATGAACAAATACTTTGTAAATCTCAATTGTGACTTGTGAGTAATAAGATTGATAATTTTTTCTAATTTTTATATTTTTTTATTTTTCATGTCTTTTTTTTTTTTTAACTTTATTATTATATATGCTTACAATTATATGTTGTTATCGATGTATGGTGTCTTAGAATAAGAACAGGACAATAATAATTCACATACACGAGAAAATATCCAAATTTAAAACTCTTAAGATAAGGTTCGAGGATGACATGTAAACTTACCTTCCGGTCCATTCCCAATAATTCTTTTTTCTCCGTATCAAACAATGTAATTTGAATTTTAAGGTAAGTTTTTTTCGTCTGTGATCAGAAGGTAAGTTTACTTTTTGGTCACAAGGCCGATGGCACATTTCTCAGTCAGAAAGGTGCTTCTGGCACTTCTCGGAACTAAAAAGTACACTTCACTTCTCGGTCAATGATAAAATGTTGGAATATATATATATATATAGATTTAGGTTCTGGTGCGGTTGTGCGGTTTAATTTGGGCCTTTCATCTCGCTTAAATCAACGTTCAAGATTATCAAAGTTTAAAAAAAAACGCGGTGGCAATTTTGTAATTTTTGCATCTAGGTCAAAATTAAGGTGAGCGGATCTGTGATTAATGTGCGTGAGTTTTGTGCTTAATGTCGTGTGTTTTGTGCTTAATGTGTGGAGTTTTGTGTTTAATGTGCGTGGGGATGTGCTTAACGTGAATAATTGTTTAAACTTAAAGTCTGTGAGTTAATACTTAAAGTGCGTGGGGTTTGTGCTTAATGAGCGTGATGTTTGTGCTTAATGTGCGTGGGTTTTGTACTTAATGTGCGTGAGTTTTGTACTTAGTGTCAGTAGTTCTTGTTAAAGTCTATGAGTTAATATTTAAAGTGCGTGGGTTTTGTGCTTATTGTGCGTGAGATTGTGCTTAATGTGTGTGGGTTTTGTTTTGTACTTAAAGTGCGTGAGTTTGTGATTAAGATCTAACACTTAAGGTGCACCAAGCCTCCGACTTGCCCTGGGCTTTGGCAAAACCCTCCAGCAAAGCTACTCCTAAGCAAGATAAAGGAGAAATCCAAATTCAAAGTATAGAGTTGATGAGTTGAATGAGTCTCCTCCTCGCCTTCCTGGTATTCGCACACTGCTTCCATTACCTGGTGGGTCCAAATGATGATTTTTACGAGGTGAAATCCAGCTTTGGTGCTCAAATTGTGCAGGAGGCAAAGAGACGACCCTTGGCAACCAGGTTAACTGCGAAGGCTATTTACTTCTTTGTTCCAGGCACGCATTTTTTTTTTAATTTTCATTGATTTGAGCCGTTGATCTAAATTTGATCAACTGCTCAGATTTAACCACACAACCGCACGGGAAGCTATACCCGCACCTGAACCCTTCCCTCTCTGTCTCTCTCTCTCTCTCTCTCTCTATATATATATATATATATATATATATATATATATATATATATATATATATACACACACACACACACACACACACACTTAAAGATAAAAATAAAACGTATATGAGTATTTATAAAATTTACGGAACTTATTGTATACCTTGATAAGAATAGATGACAAATTTGTACGTTTAGACAGAGGGAAAAAGTCTATAGAGAAAGTTAAAAAAAATTGAGGTTGGATTGTGGGAATTTAACTATTTATATTTGTGAAAAAAATCTACAACAATTCTAATTTGATAGTCTAAAACTGAAAATATACACAATGAAATTATATATATATATATATATATATATATATATATATATATATATATATATATATATATATATATATATATATATATATATATATATATATATATAACGAATTTTTCCCAAAATGGTCCCTCAACTATTTCTCAGTTTATATTAGGTGTACAATAGGTAAAAGGACGAAAATACCCTCCATTTTAACACTGAGTTGACGAAAAACTTAACGGAGGACCAAATTGGGTGAGTTTTTGAAAGTTGAGGGACCAGATTTGGTGCAATTGAAAGTCGAAATGCAAAATCGAGAATGAGCAATAGTCGAGGGACCATTTTGGGAAAAAAACTCTATATGAAATTTATCTCTCTCGCCATTAGAAAGGAAAACAACATAATTTAATGAAAAAATTTGTTTCTCTCAACACCTTTTTAGATAAATACTCCGTATTTTTATTTCTTTTTGAATATTGAATATTCTTGTTGCATACAAGAATCTTTTGGCATATGATTTATTAATTTATAAGTATATTATTAAACTCTTAATTATTCGTTATATTTTTTTCTTTTTAGTGGTTGCATATAACTAGGATATATTAGTGATTTAAACAAAATTTCATAAGAAATTAAGTTTAAACGAATTAAACATTACATTTTAATTAATTTGCTAGATAATTAATTTTATTGTTTCCAGAGTAACTCCAAATTAAACATGTTAATTAGTTTTCCCACAAAATTATTCTCATCAAACATCAAACACATCATATCCCTGGGAAATTGGGTCTAAGTAATTAGATCGACTACCCATCAAAATTTGATGTTCATTTGTGCAATATAATGCCACTTAGCTTATTTTATCGTAGACCATTCATCAGTAACTGCATTATATATATTATATTGTTTAATTAAGCCAGCCATGAGTATAGTTGCATGACTAAATCAAAGCATTATCACACACTTTTCTTGTTGGCATTCGATCCTTACTTTACTATTTTTTGGTGTCACACATTCATTCCTCTAAACTATATACCCAATTAACTTTGAAAGATGTTCACACAACACCCAAAAATTTCAATCTAAAAAAAAAAAATGGTTAGAAAAAAGATGGAAAATCCGATTGTGATGATTATTGTGGTGCTGAATTACCTCTGCCCGGGTGTTGTGTCACACGACTCAATTCCTATTCCAGCTAGTAAGGATGAAGTGAACAATTGGTTCACCGCCAATGTACATCCCGCTTCAGCTAGAAACAACCTCGACCCTGCACCAAGATGGTTCCAAATGGTTGCTTCCCCTGTCAAAGTCTAAGCTCCCATCCATCTTATATATAAATAAATGCTTAATTGCATTTATTTTAATTTGTTGCTTTAATTTACCGTCTATATAGACAGTACCGGGAATAATAGATGATGGAAACAGAAGAGGATTTTTTTTTTATTTTTTATTTTTTAAAATTTGTAATGGTTAGTTCTAGGTATTTTGTAGGAAATTAAATAAGGGGATGGTCTAAAATTTTTAGATGTGTTTCTGTATTTTTTTCTTAGTTTAGGAGTTTGGTTTTGATTTAATATCTTTATCGGGGAAATATAGAAGGAAGAAAGTTCAGTTAATTTGTAATTTTGCCATTTGCCATGTTCTAATCTCTGGCATGCTATTGATCATGTTATAGTAAATTAGCTCTAATGAATTTCTAACTTTTATGTTTGTTTTGTATATTGATAGACTGAATGCACTTCTTAAATTTTGAATAAAAATATATAAACATTTATTGATGAAGTAAGAGCTTCAAATCACGAATATATAAGCAAATTATTGCCTCCAAATGGGTAGTTTAATGTTCAGGTTAATATTACATACTGACCCTTGTAGCTTGCAATACTGTTATGCCAAAGCAAAATGCTATATTTTCCCTATCTTATATTCATTGTGTATAATAAATTGATTGACTCTACACACTTTTAATTGAATATTAAATAATAAAATTAGATGTTGCTATATAAAGAGAAAAAATCAGGAGTAAAGATTTTAAGAGGGATACATAGCATTACTCTATGTCAAAAGTTATGATTAGTAATGTATCTCCTTCTAACATGTACTGATGAAATTTATGACTTTCTCGAATACCAATAGTAAAATTTAGCGTCATATTTAGGACTTGATCATCTAGCCCAAACACGTAACTATAGCCTTCAAAAGGTCAACATGCCGAACGCATGCATCCTCACTAGAGACGAGCCAACATACATAATAGCTTTAATTTGAGGATGCACTACTACACTATATTTGTGTTGCTAACCTATCTATGAGAACTGCCGAGTGAATTCCATTTTTGGTCCTGCTGTTATATGGGCGTTTCCAATTTTAGTCCACTTTAATTTTTTTTGTTACTTTAAAACCACTATTATTAAATGTGTTTCACTTTTAGTCCCACCGTTAGTATTTCCATCAAGAGGCCGTGTAATCTAGGGGTATTTTGACATTTCATCTCATTCAAGACTATGTTTGACTAAAGAAATGAGAACATTAAACCTAAAACCTAAGAAACCTCGCCGGCCTATGTTGGAATGAACGAAACGATGTAACTTTGGCTTCCCATTCTCGTTGTTCGAAGAGCCATCTTCGAAAATCGGAGGAGGAGGATGTGACAAAACTCAGAGGAGAAAAGAGAAGAAGAAACAGATCAGGGAAGAAGAGGGAATTTCTGTATATTCAAGAAGGATCCAAGGGAGTCCCTTTTGTACAAGAGAAAGCGAGGGAAGAAGCTTAACAGAAGCTTAACGGAAAACAACAACTAATCTAACTAATCTGTCAGAAGAGATACAATGAGATGGTGCCAAGTGGCATTGACCGATGCCTTGACTATTTAGCTTCTTTAATCTCCTGATATCCCCCCGCAAGCTGGAGTGTACAAATTGAACAGTCCAAGCTTGGAGATATAACTGTGGAAGGAGCTGGGGCAATGTGTCTTGGTGAAGGTGTCAGCAAGCTGTTGTTCAGATCCAACATGAAACAATTTTATTACACCTTTACTGAGCTTCTCCCTTACCAAATGGCAGTCAAGCTCAATGTGTTTAGTTCGCTCATGAAACAC